GTGTCTCGTATTCCGTGTTATACCTAACGTCTTTACGGAATGATCCACGTTTAACACGAGATTGGCACGCAACGCATTGGAGGCTAAATCGTTAATAACGCGCTCGTCGTTGGATGCCCGTTGCCTTCTGGAGAAACCACCCCGTTTCAGTAACGCGATTATTTCGTTACGGACGGCGCGCGCCCCTACAATCGTATCCGCGCCGGATAACAAATTATCTGCATAAAGATGTGTGGTAAGAATCTCGGCCGATCGAGGATACTCACGACGTTCGTCCTCCGTAAGTTTCTGTAAACTCGAATCGCGAGGAAGGAAGAAGGCGAAACACCGAATGTAAGCGTGTTAGGCTGAAACGTTTTAACTCCACCATCCACGCGCCGGAGGAATCTCTGATAACGGCGATCATCTTCGTGCAATAACACCTGGCGATACATCCTTTCGATGTCTGTCGTGATGACATAATTATATGTGCGGAACCGAATTAAATGCGAGAACAACGTGTCTTGAATTGTAGGTCCTACCATTAACGCGTCGTTCAAGGACATTCCGTTATTCGTCTTCGCCGACGCGTCGAACACCACTCGAACCTTAGTCGTGTTATTCGTTTCTTAACGCTGTGTTTGAATTGAGTTTACGCTCCAGCGACAATAGACGTTTAAGCGCGATGGAACGCGATTCCCCTAGTCGCGTGTTTGATTTGCGAAACGGTAAGCGAACCTTGTAACGCCCGTCGGCGTCGCGAGACACCGTCCCTTCGAAGTGCGCTTCGCAATCGCCTTGCTCGTCTGATTTCCTCTTAATTTCCCTGACTTCTTCAATTGCCCAAAATTTGTTTAACTGCTTCTCGAGATTCGTCATGTAACGCGTAGGGTTTGAAGGAACTTGCGACGGTACACCACCTATCATCTCCCATCCGAGTCGTGTTTTCTGCAAATACGGATCGTGATCTTCACGCGACAAGTTGATCTGTCCGAAGGAGAACAGAGATAAGGTGAGCCCTGAGCCAATCAGCAAATCAACCGCGCGTGGCAGGTGGAATTTCGGAACCGCCAATCTAACGTTTGAGGGTACTTTGATCGTGTCTTTCGGAAAGACTTCTGAGTGAATTAAATCGGCGATGACCGGAATCACCAGACACGTGAGATCCCTGCGACAATTATCGCGCGTGGATTGCATAGTGATCCGTACTATGCCTCTCGACTCTGTATTTACGTCATTGATCATACCAACTGACAACGCGCCTTTGCTTACATGAATGTTCAATCGCTTTAGAATAGATTCCGAAAATAAAATTTGCTGTGGCACAAGTATCTAATAAGGCGCGGAATTTTATCGGATTACGCCCGCGATCCCGGACATATACCACGGCACTCGCTAGTAATTGTGGTGCGGGCGTGTACGACACCATAGCATGCCTTATCTTCGCGGTATTAATCGACTCGGCTATTCATGCGGCCTGTGTATCTACGGCCTTAGAAGTGGAAGTTCGATTCGTCACCGGGTATTGGTCTAAATGCAGAAGAGTGTTATGTTTCTTTTGGCAAATTGTACAGTTCGAAAATTTGCAGGGGTTGTCTCTATGTGAGCGCAAGCAATTGTAACAAATCTTCGCATTTCTCACTGTTTCGATACGTTTAGGTATAGGTAATCGTTTGAATTTGTCGCATAAATACAAGGGATGCCGTTTCGTTTTGCATGCTATGCAATTACGCGCCGCGCTTACGACACGCGCTCGATTCGAGGGACGACTTCGTCTTTTTTTGCTCGAGGGTTCTCCCCTGCTTCCCTCCATGTCGGTTACCTTCGCTCTCTCGCGCCTCGAGACGCAAACCGCGGTTTTATATAAGAACTCGTACATCTGGTCGATCTCTGGAAACTCGTCTCTTTCGAGCGTCGCCTCCCATTTTTCCAACGTTATCCTTGGTAGCTTGGTCTCTAGCAAAGGTACGATCATCTCGTGTCCGACCGAAACTCCCAAAGAGTTTAGCGACGCAACGTGTTGCTGTGCGTCGTCCGCGAGACAGGACAAACCGTTCGTTGTTTCTTTGTCTAGCGCGGGCAAATTTAATAGCAGAGAGAGATGCCGCGATATCAAGATCCTCCTGACCTCATATGACCGTTCTAATAAGCTCCAGGCCTTGGCATAATTAATTCCGTCAATTTCGAAGATCCTACTCTTGTTCGCGGCTTCGCCAGTTAACGCCGATCTAAGGTAATGCAATTTGTCTATTTCCGCAAGGTCCGTTCGCGAGCCTATCATACTGCAAAACGCATTTTTGAATGATAACCATTCCTCGACTCTACCATTAAACTTCGGTAACGGTGTTTCGGGCGGCTCAATCCGCCGTTTCTCAACAGGCGGTACGACGTCATCGCGCCGTACCCCTTCATTCGATACGCTAGCGCTCGTTTCGGACATATCTCCCGACGGCGCATCTCCCGGACGTAAAATACTCTCAATTTTTCCCGCCAAGCGATAAAACCGCTCCTGAATACCCTCGAACTCGACCCGATGATTTGCGTTGGGATCTAATACCGCGAGTTCATCGTTACACCCTTCGAAGGTCCGATATAATTGCGTTAAACGCTCGTTTCGCCACCTTAACGTCGCGTTATCAATTTTCCCCCCTTCGACGATATTGGCTAAATTGGTTATTTGGGATTTCAGGGAAGTTCGTTTCTGAACGAGGAATTTGATTTTGTCCGCCATCTCGGCATGCGACGGAATGTAAATGGTGTGAAAGAATGACTTACTCTTACGCCTGTCGAGTACGATTGCACGCGTTCCTCCTTCGGCTGACTTGGAGGACCCGCTCTTAGTAGATGTGAGGCGGCTCTCAGGCTGGATCCCGTTTCTTGCGTGGATTGAGGCACAGACCTCACAGGAGGCACCAAAA